CTCTGTTGTTCACTGTCAGGACTATGCATTCACTGTGGTAGTGCTGATCTGGTTCACACCAAACATGCTGGACTCCATCTGAGCTGAACTAATTTATCTTGGTCTCAGCTGACAGACTTCTTTTTATGTTCTTTAGCAAAGTTTCATCTACTTTTGTACCAAACAATAAGAAGGTTTTTTTTCTTGGGCATTGTCTCTGAAGGTTGACATAATGTCCCGTCCTTCACATTGTCTGAGTGTGGAGAACAGTCTGAATCAGCTGCCTTCTGTTATATAGAACTATGTTGTGAAAGTAGTTCACCATCTGTGGAGTCATTTTAGGAGGACGACCACTGCAGCTTTGATTAGTGGTCCTCTGGCTCCTTCTGTACCTCCTCATTAATTCTATGTTTTGAACTGATTTTCAGTTGCTCATCGATCTTCCTGTATACTTTTCCATTTCACAATCAGACTCCTTAAATTATTTTGCTAATTATTTTCCACGTGGAGCCATGATGCAGGCATGCAAAGTTCTGGTGTTCACCACTTGTTTTTATAACCACGTACATGCTGTTAGGCTGATTGGACGGTGAACTCAGTTTAGTTTTTACTGGTTTTCAAACTTGTGTGTGACATGTATTTACTTCTGTTCTATGTTTTACTCCCCTCAGCAATATCCACCAACCAAACACAGGACTTCCTGAAGAGACAAAAGAAAAGGTCCAGGTTGTACCTCTGGGGATCTTGCAGATCCAGTCCAACTCAGAGTCACAGTGCATGGCCAGCCAGGTCATAGTGCCCAAGTCTGCTGCAGCACACTGCCGAATGTTGTAGTAGTAGCGGCCAAAGTTCTGGTACGTTAACTGAGACATAAACAAAGAGTAAACAGATTGTACTTGAGGAATCTGTTAATGCACTGGTGGGCTGCAACTTGATGTTACTCACAGCAAGTCCATCACTCCACTTCCAGCTGCCGTTGTCCATGGGGTTCCTGCGGTTCAGTCCGATCCAAAACCAGTGCTGCTCGTGATCCTCTGATTCCCTGTAGGTCACATCACCATCCAAAACATCATCATCATGGTAAATGGCCTGCATATATATATAACACTTTTCTACCTTCATGATACTCAAAGTGCTTTACAATGTTTTCTCATTCACCCATTCACACACAAATGGCGACAGAGCTGCTGTGCAAGGTGCTGCCTGCCATTGGGAGCAACTTCGGGTTCAGCCCAAGGACACTTGGACTGTGGCAGGGGATCGAACCGCCAACCTTGCGATCAGAGGACAACCGTTCTTCCCGCTGAGTCACAGCCGCCCATCATCATCATCATCATCATCATCATCATCATCACATGTGAGCAGGTCAGAAAGCCAAACCCACCCAAATCTCTCATGCAGGATCTGCAGAACAAAGTGTTCCTCCTCAGGGCTGCTGATGCTCAGCAGGTTTGCTCCATGTTTCCGACAGAACAGATGAGCCTGCAGCCAACTCATCTTCTGCTCCAGCTGGGAGAAGTGAAACACCTGCACACAGGTAATAAAGGTGTAACTACGGATGCAACGCTGATGTAAAGCAAGTTGTAGTGACAGTGATGTTACTTCCAAGCTTAGGACTACAAGTAAGAATTACTCCTCCTACCGAAGGTTGGGTCTTGAGAAACGTTCATTTCATAACAGGTGACTGTCAAAATTGTCAAGAATTGAAAGTGGCTTTACGTATGTGTCCTGATTTCATGCCATCTAAAGCATCAGGGTTCTTCTGCTCGAACAGCTCTGATTGTCATAAACTATGTATTATTAAAATGCTATGTGCCAAATTTTAGACTGATACAAAATATATATTTAATCGCCTGTCAACCAACTTCCAGCTCGTCTCCCAGATTAAAATTTGACACTGTTTGAACTACAATATCTCAGGAATCATTAAAGATAGAAGTATGAAATTTTCA